GGTAACCAGGTGTAGGAAGTAGGGGGAGGCCGATAAACATAAGTGTATTGTATCTAGGTAGATAGACAAAGCATTTTAAGCTGATTGGCTGGGATTTAGGGTAGGGCTGCTTTGGGGGCTTTCCAGCTTTCTGGGAGTAAGGATCATAACGGGATTTTTTTTTTTTTCTCAGTCTTTAACAGAGCATACATTATCTTTAACTCAAGTAGAACATGCATTTGTCATCTATTGTTTTATTCTAAGCAGCAAGTATTGAACAGAATTGTATCCTGGCCTCAGGCACATAGGGTCTGAGAACTTGCACTTTCACCTTCTACTCAAGATGGAGACTTAGAGGCAAAATGGCTTCTGATATGCTAACGCCAACAGCAGGTGTTAACAGAGGAGCCATAGTTATGCTAAGAACTAAAGTAGGTCTCAACAGAGGGGCTCTAGAGTTTAAGCAGGTTACAGCATTCACAATGACACAAGTATCTGTGGTGACAAGGTCGAACTCTAAAGCAGGAACACTCTCAGGAACCAGATTGTCTCCCACAGTGATAACAGCAGCAGCAACAACTTTCTACAACCTGGTTGTGGAACCAGAATTGAGATAACTACCAACCAAACCAAACCAAACTACTGGCTCAACCCAGATCACCTGTTCGGTCAGCTATTCATAAACTAACTTTTTCCTTGTCTCTTTTGTATGAAGTTGCAGTGTTCTTGTTAGCTCCTGGAAGACAGGCTCTCAGTCACTGGACCCATTTAGCTGTTCTTCCCAGCATGCCACTCAGATTAAATCTCCTTTTTTTTGACCTTTCACTCTTCTCATTGCTTTGGTTGGCATATGAAATGAGTGGCCAGTTCTAATGTTGGGACTCCGAGCCAGGCCTTTTTGCCTAAAGCCCTGGGAACAGTGTTTCTTATCATTGTCTATTATAATGAGGACATTTTGGCCTGAAGATACTACAGTTCCTAAAGTCCCTTCCTGTCACACTTGATCAAGGAAGAAAGCAATAGCTTATTTTCCTTTTTTTTTTAATACTATTTTAAAATAAAAATCAGATTATTCTCTTTTCATAGGCACAGAACTAAGTCTCATTCTCTGTCTCCTATGATGGTTGATTTTCTTTGTCAACTTGATTAAGTCACAGACGCTATTTATTTGATGAAACGTTATTTTAGATGTCTCTGTAAAATAATTTCTTAAATAGAAATAATATTTCCATCAGTTGATATTTAAATTGTTTAATTTTATGTGTGGGTGTTTTGTTTGTATGTCCATGCATCATGGGCAAGCCTGATGCCATGAAAAAGAGGCCAGAAGAAGGCCTCAAATCCTTTGAGACTGGAGTTACAGACAGTTGGGAGCTTCCGTGTGGGTGCTGGAAATCGAACCCTGGTCTTCCAGAAGAGCAGCCAGTGCTCTTAGCTGACAAGCCATCTCTCTAGCCCCAAGTAGTTGGTTTTGAGCAAAACATATGATACTCTACAACATGATGGTTAAGGTGGGTACCCTGAGGAAATGGGAGCTATGCCTCCAGGTGTCCATCTGCCTTTGGATTCGAGCTACAGGACCAACTCTCATGGGCCTCCAAGCTGCTGGTCTACCCTGGAGAGCTCAGGGTTGCCAGTGTACACAGCCATAGACCTTAAAGAAATTGCTTCACCTCTTCGGGCCTCAAGCTTTCTTTTTTAATCTTCCTGAACAAACACTGTGATTCTCTGTGTCATAGGAAAATGAGTAAAATTTACCACCAGATGACAGGAGGTAAAGTCAGTCTATCGTCCCCCATCTCTCCTTTGACCTACTGAACTATTACCTACAATGATAACATTTGCCCCAAAACTTAAGGAACTGATAGGTCTTAAACATTTGCCTAATAAGTAAAGGAGTAAATGAATTCCTGGAATAGTTCTGGGCTCTTCTGTCCACCTCTGGTGCCCTTTACCCTTTTACCTATTAAAATACTTTTTTTTTTTTTAAAGTATGGTAGGTATAGAATGGAAAGATGAGACAATAAAGAATTTGGAGAAGAATGGATAGAAAGCAATTACATCACCTTTGCTTGTTTTAAGACCTCATCTATATAGCCCCTAATGGCCTCAAACTCATGCTGATCCTCCTGCCTCAGCCTCCTGAGTACTGAGATTGCAGGCTTGAACCATCATGCCAAGTACCATTATCATACTGCATTCAGTAGAGCCAATGCCAAAACACCATAGTTTTGTGAGTGGACTTACTATAATCATCAAAATGGTCACATACTGATATTGTTGTTTTATTATATTCATATTTCTGGTGCATGCTTGAAAACTTACCTATGTAAAGTTAAAACAAGAATAATCATTAGTGATCCTTGAGTATTTTCCTTCCTTTCAATGAGACTGAATTGAAATTATCCCAAGGCATCTTGGGATTCTTGGCTTGAGAGAAAACAGATACTGCTTTCCAGTAGATAGAGATCCAGAGATGGGGAGAAAGAGCACCTCTGATCTTCCCATAGGTGAAGACCTGCGTCATCCAGCAGCGTTCACCACTCACCCTCCAGGCACTTTTCGCTCCAGGGCTTACCATGATTTCTTTGAAAGATTAACAAACCTGAGATGCCATTGTGAACTGAGGATACAAAGCTACAGTGAAAGCAACGTTCTTAAGCAAAGGGGTGACATGCAGATGGCGTGCAGTGCTTCTAAGAGGGATGATATCCTATAAAGTAGCACATTATAAGACAAATTAAGTAAATAATAGAAGGTTATGGAAGTTAACACCAATGATCAAAAGATTATCAAATAGTCAAGTAGTCAACAAACAGCAGCATGGTAGAACCTGCTTACTTGGCATATTACACGTCCACAAACTCAGAAAATTCAGAACCCATACATGTAGACAATTTTGTAGCATCAGGAAAAGAAAAATCAGTATTGCTACCACCTAGCTGTGTCCCTAGTCTCACAGTGTGAAACACTTACAGAGGAATGAATTGGTAGAAACATGGGTAGCCTGAAGCGGAAGTTTTTGTTTCTTTAAAAACTCCGTTACGTTATGTAAATATGTTTTTGTTTTAATCCTAGGTGTGTGAGGGGGGGG